AAATTTTTTTTTCCATTTAAAAATTTTAAAAAAACCCAACCCCCTTTTTTTTAAAAAAAAAAATTTATGAATTTTTTTTTTTTTTTCCCCAAAAAAAAAAAAAAAATTTTAAAAATTTTTTTTTTCCCCCTTTTTTTTTTTTTTTTTTTTTTCCCAAAAAGGAAAAATTTCAAAAAAAACCCAAAAAAAAGGGATAACTATATTTTTGGAAAAAAATTTTTTTAAAAAAAAAAAAAAAACCCTTCCTTTCCCCCCCAAAAAAAATCAAAAAAAAGAAAAAAAAAAAATTTAAAACCCTGGATTTTTAAAAAAAATTTTTAAAAAAAATTTTTTTTAAAAAAAAAGGAAAAAAATTTTTAAAAAATTTTTTTAAGCGGGAATTAAAAAAGAAGTGAAAAAAAAAAATTTAACCCCTTTTCCCCAAAAAAAAAATTTAAAATTTTTTAAAAAAATTTAAAAAAAAATTTTAAAAAAAAAATTTTTAAAAAGGGGGAAAAAAAAAAACCAAAAGGGTTTTCCCCCCCCAAAAAAAAACCCGGGGGCCCCCCCAAAAAAAAACCCCCCCAAAAAAAGCAACCAAAAATTAAACCCAAAAAAACCCCCAAAAAAAACCCCCCCCCAAAAAAGAAAAAACAACCCTCAAAGCCCCAAAAAAAAAAAGCAAAACCCCAAAAAAAAACCCCAAAAAAAAACCCCCCCAAAAAAACCCCAAAAAAAACCCCCCTTAAAATAAAAAAAAACCCCCAACCCCCCCAAAAAAAAAAAAAAACCCAAACCCCCAAAAAAACCCCCCAACAAAACCCCCCCCCCAAACCCCCAAATTTAAAAGGGAAAAAAAAACACCCCACCCCACACACACACACACAAACACACACACACACACCCCACCCCCACACCCCCCCCCCCCCACACACCCAACCCCACCAAAAAACCCCCCCCCCCCCAAAAAAAAAACCCCCCCCCCCCCCCCAAAAAAAAAAAAAAAAACCCCAAAAAAAAAAAACCCCCCCACAAAACCCCCCCCCCCCCTCCAAAACCCAAAAAATTTTTTCCCAAAAAAAAAAACCCCCCCCCCAAAAAAAAAAACCCCCCCCTTAATTTTCCCCCCCCCCCGGGGGGAAAAAAAAGGGGGCAAAAAAACAAACCCCAAAAAAACCCAAAAAGGTTTTTAAAAAAAAAATTAAAAAAATTTTAAAAAAAAAAAAAAAGGGGGGAAAAAAAAATAAAGGGGAAAAAAAAAAATTTTTTTTAAAAAAAATTTTGGGGAAAAAAAGGGAAAGGGTTTAAATTTAAAAAAACCCCCCCCAAAAAAAGGGGGGCCCCCAAAAAAAAGGGGGGCCCCCCCCCCACCCAAAAGGGGAAACAATTTCCCTTTTTTTTTTAAAAGGGGGGGGGTTTTTTTTTTTTTTTTTTTTTGATTTTTTTTCCCCCCCCTTTCTCCCCCCTTTTTTTTTTTCCCCCCCCCCTTTTTTTCCCCCTTTTTTTTTTCCCCCCCCTCCCCCCCCCCCCCCCTTTTCCCCCCCTTTTTTTCCCCCCCCCCCCCCCCCCCCCTTTTTTTTTCCCCCCCCCCCTTTTTTGGGGGTTTTTTCCCCCCTTTTTTTTAAAAAAATTTTTTTTTTTCTTTTTTCCCCCCTTTTTTTTTCCCCCCCTCTTTTTCCCCCCGGGGCCCCCCCCCCCCCTTCCCCCTTTTTTTTTTCCCCCTTTTTTTCCCCCCCCCAAACCCCTTTTCCCCCCCTTTTTTTTTTTTCCCCCCTTTTTCCCCCCCCCCCCCCCTTTTTTTTTTTTCCCCCCCCCCAATCTTTTTCCCCCCCTTTTTTTTTTTTCCCCTTTCCCCCCCTTTTTTTTCCCCCTTTTTTCCCCCCCCTTTTTCCTTCCCCCCTTTTTAAAAAATTTTTTTTTTTTTTCCCCCCTTTTTTTCCCCCCCCCTTTTTCCCCCCCCCCCCCCCCCCCTTTTTTTTTTTTTCACACACCACACTCACCACCACACTCACCACACTCACACTCACACACTCACACTCACACACTCACACTCACACACTCACACTCACACACTCACACACTCACACACTCACACACTCACACTCACACACACTCACACTCTATCCTGAACAGGTAATTGTACGAGCCAACAGAACAGTAAACACACACAAATGCATTTATATGGAACCCTTTATTAATGCTGCTTTACCCATATGGTAGGCTTCAAGTCACAAACATATAAACCTGTTAAAAGAAAGTAAATGTGGAAATAGTTAACAGTAGTGAGGTGAAGAGCAAACAGAATGCGCATCAGGTCACATTGATTACTAAGCATCCAAATAATTTTCAGGCAAGAGGTTGAGCTAAGTTGTAACAACCAATGTCCTGCTTGAAGCTGCTGGAGATACCAATGAGTACAGATTCAAGGCATCATCATCATCATCATTTCTTGACTCGAGTGTCATTTTTTGGGGAAACAAGTAGTGCTATTCCAGCTTTTTAAGTAGTTGTGGAAATTGTGATGTTACACAGGTGTTAGGCTGCACATTCTGTTGGTATATTGGTGGTTTGATATGTATTTATTGAGTTCTCTGGATGTCTCACCTACATAAATTTTGTCACAGTTGTTGTATACTCCTGCAGTAGTTACATTAGCTGTGTTTCTGTCTGCTGATGTCTGACTGTAGTAGAGGCAGTGGTGGCCATGCTGAGTTAGCAACTGGAGATCTTAGAGATGTGTTTGGCAACCGAGTTGCTAGGGAGGACTATGTATTGCTTCCTGGCACCACCAGTTCTGGGCAAGTTGATGTTATGAGCACATCTGTAATCCTTGGTAAAATTCTGAGAGTAGTGTAATCTTCTGAAGATCTGTTTGAGGCAAGAGCACTCGTCATACTGCAGATACAGAAAGCTCTTAAGAAGAAAGACTAGGCAATATGGTACAGCAGGGCCCCAGCTTACAGTGTTAATGCATTACTGAAAATTCAATGACTGCTCAGTACTCGGAACCTATTTTCCAATGAGAGATAATGTAAAATGGATTAATGTGTTCCCAAGTCCTAATTTTCTGCATCTAATGTCAGTTAATTTTTTCCCCACAAAAAAGTTTACCTAATCTTTTACCTCAAATCTTTTTTTCTAAATTGCAAGTATATCAAAACAATATTCCTACAATGAGTAACTTTGAATTAAACAATCAAATAATACAATGGACCCTCAACCAACAATATTAATCCGTTCCAGAGAGCTTATAGTTAGACAAATTTATCGTTAGTCGAATTAATTTTCCCCATAAGAAATAATGGAAATCCAATAATCTGCTCCAGACACCCAAAAGTATGAAAAAAAAAAAGTTCACATGAAATATACATTTTCCTACACAGAAAAAGGACACATGCACAATAAATACTGTACTAAATGAAGAATAAATGACACCTTTATTGAAGATGTAGTGATGAGTGATGAGACACTGTTTTTCTTGACCACTCTGGGATTTTCAGAGTGATACACGAGTAAAGGCTTCACTTTGCAATCCCCACTAGCATTACAACAAAACATGAGAGTTAGCCTGTCTTTCATAGGCTTGTGTCCTGGGAGTGCCTTTTCCTCCTGAGTAATGTAGGTCTTGTTTGGCATTTTCTTCCAGAACAACCTGTTTCGTCACAATTGAACATTTGTTGGGGGATGAATTTTTCAGCTTCACCATACCTTATCACACTGTGTATGCCACTATGATTCTTAAATCTCTCAAACCAACCTTTGCTGACCTTAAATTCACCAATATGAGCACTAGTTCCAGGCATTTTTTCCTGTTCACCTGGGTGTTAGTCGACTGGTGTGGGTCACATCCTGGGGACAAGATTAAGGACCCCAATGGAAATAAGTTACAGTCCTCGATGACGCACTGACTTTCTTGGGTTATCCTGGGTGGCTAACCCTCTGGGGTTAATTGTTTCTCATTAAGCAACACCAACAAGTCTCTCCACATCTTCGAGTAGTACAGCTGATGGTGGTGTAGCAGCAGCTGATGGTGGTGCAGCAGCAGCTGATGGTGGTGCAGCAGCAGCTGATGGTGGTGCAGCAGCAGCTGACGGTGGTGCAGCAGCAGCTGACGGTGGTGCAGCAGCAGCTGACGGTGGTGCAGCAGCAGCTGACGGTGGTGCAGCAGCAGCTGACGGTGGTGCAGCAGCAGCTGACGGTGGTGCAGCAGCAGCTGATGGTGGTGCAGAAGCAGCTGACCATGGTACAATAGTATTTCGATAGTATTTCTCACCCTTTTTACCACAGGGTTGGCACTAGAAGTTTTCTTTGGGCCCATGGTGGCTTATTTAGCAGTTACAAGCACTAAAAACAATGAAATAATACAAAATTTATCGAATGTATGCGTACAACCATCTGCCCTGGCTTGTAAACAATGGCACACTAGCTGAGCTGAGACGGACGCATTCAGAACAAATGATGTTAGTCAAGTTTTTCATCGTTGGTTGGGCCAAAATTTTTACGCTAAAATGCTTCGTTAGTCAATTTTATCATTAGATGATGCCTTCGTTGGTTGAGAGTCCACTGTATAAGCAAATTACTTTAAAATTAGCTGTGTATAGTACAATACTACCCTCCAGCCAGAGGGCCCCAAGAAAGAAGACAGAAGAAAGAAGAAGACGAACGACACCCCCAACCTGGGGCCACTGCCGGGTCGCCATCTGGAGAAGACCCAGGCCAGAAGTACCGGCAAATCACTAATGAATGAATGAGTACAATACTTACCTTGAATGCCAAACATATCTTGTGTAATGTCTGGCTCACTGGAAGGAATATTTCTTGATTATTCTTAGGTGACTTAATTAAAGGAATTAGAAGAGAGTGATGGAATTAAACAGAGTGAATCTGAGCATTTCTCAGTTGCATAAGCTAGGAAGTTTAGTGAAGTTGTGGCAGTTTTAGAGGTTATGCTACTGGGGACTTTGGTGGAGTTGTAGTCCTAACTGTAACCAAGTGTCCTTTTCCACAAAGAGTGTAATTACCTGAGGGTAAGTGGACAATTCTTACAGCACTGTCAGTAGTATTGACATGCTGACCACCTGCACCACTTGCTCGTTTAGTCTCAATCTTTAGGTCCTTGGTTGATATTTGCACATCAATCTGAAAAGGAAAAAGTGATTCTAAAGACAGTGGTTTTCTTTAGATTCCACCCACCCCAAAATCCATTAAAAAAAATGCTTACTTGCTCACTATAAATCCATAGCTATGTCCCCATGCACTCATTCAACATTTCCTAAAATTTCTGTCCTCTTCACTTCTCTCTTCTCCAGGTGCATAAATGCTTACTATAACCCACTTTTCACATCCAACCCTTATTTTACTCCACATACTCCTTGAATTAATAAATTTATATTCCCTCTTTTCCTGCCATAACTTACCCTTCAACATTATTGCTACTCCTTCTTTAGCTCTAACTCTATTTGAAACCCCTGACCTAATCCCATTTATTTCTCCCCACTGAAACTCTCCCACCCCCTTCAGCTTTGTTTCACTTAAAGCCAGGACATCCAGTTCCTCCTCATTCATAACATCCACAATCATCTCTCTCTTATCATTCGCACAACATCCATGCACATTCAAACATCTCACTTTGATTGTTTTCTTCTTTTTCTTTTTAGTAGGCTATACAGAAAAAAGGGTTACTAGCCCATTGTTCCAAGCATTTTAGATGACTTTTACAACATGCATGGCTTACAGAGGAAAGATTCTTATTCCACTTCCCCATGGATATAAGAGGAAAAGCAATAAGAACAAGAACTATTAAGAAAACTCAGATGTGTGTGAATATATAAACATGGATGAATTTGGTAAGGTGTGCAAAAGAAGAAAATTAAAAGTGAATACAGGAAAGAGTAAGGTTATGAGGATAACAAAAAGATTAGGTGATGAAAGATTGGATATCAGATTGGAGGGAGAGAGTATGGAGGAGGTGAATGTTTTCAGATATTTGGGAGTGGACGTGTCAGCGGATGGGTCTATGAAAGATGAGGTGAATCATAGAATTGATGAGGGGGAAAGGGTGAGTGGTGCACTTAGGAGTCTGTGGAGACAAAGAACTTTGTCCTTGGAGGCAAAGAGGGGAATGTATGAGAGTATAGTTTTACCAACGCTCTTAAATGGGTGTGAAGCATGGGGGTGAACTCATGGCGACCGATAGTGGCTCCAAAGCCACTGTATCTTTTATGGACATTGTGCATTGTGTATTTGCTTTCCACAACAAGAAGCACTTCTTTTATTTGTTGGAACCATGAATAGGGCTAAAAGTGAGCAGGTTATAACAATAAATGGAGAAAAAGAAATCTGAATGACTTATGCAGCAAGTAGCACCACCAAACAGTAGCAGCAGGTTGGTGTGGCGAACCCGGAAATTTGAAATTATGCTAGCCAAAATTAGTACCGGATTACTGATTCCCGGATTAGTGATGGCAGACATGTATATTTCTTCAGATTAAGCTATAATTTTCAAGTATTAGGGTGCCTCAATTCTAGATTACTTGGAAATACAATACAGCAGGGCCGTGCTTTATGACATTTTGCCTTACGGTATTCTGCTAATACTGTACAGACATTTCAAATTATGACCAAAACTTGCTATACAGCTCCCCTACCTGAGTTTCTAATACAGTCACCGCACCCCACATAATTTGTTTACATTCTCCGTGAGTGCCGTGTCTTTCCATCATGTTCAGAAACTTTCCAAAATTTCAAGTATTTTAAAGTTATTTCATGTTTTATACAGTATATACTCTGATAATTATACTTATGTGTACAAGTACCTAAATAAATTTACATACTGTGCTGACATGCAGGTACACATTAAAATCACTAAGACTGCCTTATTAGTCTTGAGGATGCCATATTAATAATGATAATAATAATATGTAAGCAATAATAATCACTCTGAGGAGCATTAAATGTCATATATTACATTAATATAAACATTTTCATTAATCCATCTATGATACGTTTTTCAAAATTATATAATAAACACGCTACGTAACATATAAACATGATAAATACACCCTACAGTAGAATAAATAAACATAAATATGAGATGTTGTGTAGATGAATGTGTATCAACCATAACCAGACACGTTCGTCTGTTTGTTTACATCCTCCACATCTCTCTACTCTCTCACTCTCTCATTCTCACTCTCACTCTCTCACTCTCTGTCACTCTCACTCTGTCACTCTCACTCTCTGTCACTCTCACTCTCTGTCACTTAGTCTCGTTTATTCGTTTTACCTGGTTTACCCTACATTAAGATTACAAATATTTTAACCCTTTCAAGGTTTGGACGTACTAGTACGGCTTATGCACCAGGGGTTTTGACGTACTAGAACGCCTAAATTCTAGCGCCCTCAAATCTAGCGAGATAAAGCTGGTAGGCCTACTTATGAAAGAATGGGTCTATGTGGTCAGTGTGCGCAGTATAAAAAAATCCTACAGCACACAGTGCATAATGAGAAAAAAAAACTTTGACCATGTTTTTGGATTAAAGCAGCGACTTTGCACTGTATTTTTGTATGGTATTTATTGTTGTATTCTAGTTTTCCTGGTCTCATTTTATAGAATGGAAGACATATTACAGAAATTGTGATGATTTTGACTGGCTTTACAATGAAAAGTACCTTGAAATTGAGCTCAAAGTAGCAGAAATGTTAAATTTTTACCAAAGTTCAAAAGTAAACAAATCATGCTATGCGTCCAATACACGTCAACTGGTGAGTCTAATATTCTTTCACAAGTGCGCTGATATTATTTATACCATTTCTACACTAATAAAGTAGTCTGCATAACAGTAAATCTTCTATTTTTTGTGAGAATAAAAATTCAAGTGGAAAGCAAAAGAATGTAAGAGGGGCCTGGGGACGTGACTAATGAACAGAGGAAGTGTTATTTTAGTGCCAGGAATGTCTTTCTTGTTTATTATAGACCCTATTCGGAAATTGGCATCTTTTGAAATTTGTGTGAAATTGGCAAAATTGCTAAATTCTGACCACTTTATTGGATAGTTGAAATCGGTAAATGGGTGGTTTCTTGTACTCATTCGATAGAAAAAATGGAGTTCTAGCAAAATAGTTATGATTTTTGTCGACTAGTACACTGGAATTGGCCGAAAATAGGGCTCGAAGTGGGCAAAATTGCCGATGCGTAAACATCATCGAGACCGCTAACTTCGCGAGAGCATAATTCCGTAAGTTTTCCATCAAATTTCATACTTTTGGTGTCATTATGATCGGGAAAAGATTTTCTATCTTTTCATAAGAAATTTTTTTTTTTTAAATTTGGCGACCTTGAGAACAAGTCTCGGAGAGGGCCTGGCGACCCTGAAAGGGCTAAGGTAAATAATGGGTATACTGTGTGTGTATTTTACCTTTTATTGTTTATAATGTCTAGTTCTATTGCTGACTTAATACAGTGGAACCTCGGTTTTCGTTTGCCATGGTTTTTGTCGAATTTGGCTTTCGACGACTTTTTTCGTCAAAATTTTGTCCCAGTTTTCGTTCACCTCGGTTTTCATCAGTCTGCAGTACCAAACGTGTCAGCCTGCCCAAGCCCACACAAAGCATTCCACGCATTCTGAGTCAGTCTGGCTTTGTTTCTCATCGAGTGAGCATTACCCTGCTCGTTCATCCGAAATATTTCATAATACAGGTCCACATCCCTTTATCTGAAACCCTTGGGGCCAGTAGTGTTTCGAATTTCAGAATTTTTCGAATTTCAGAATGAAGGTCGGGTCTAGGGCAGCACCCCATAATTAAACATTAACACTACAGCAAATGTGTATGAATACTCACACTAAGTGGGATAAATAAATAAATGAAATAATGGGATAATTATAGACCAGGAACATGATTCTCAAGATGATTGACAGACGGCATTTCTTAAGATTTCTTCAAGTGTCATCTGTCTTATTAACATAGGGTTCTATCTAAGCAATCTCTCTTTAACTGAGTAAATTGCCATAATTTCTTGCTCACTGATAAATGCATGTTGTTCAAGGCCAGCAATCAACTGATCACATTTTCACCATATCATCTATGGGGACTTTTTCACCTGTGTTCACAATGTCATCATCATCACTACTGTTCTCATGCTTATTTGTATTTAACACCATTTCAGCAATTTCACCATCACTCAAGGAATGCACAACAGGTGCATCATTGTCAATGTTTAGCATATCCTCGATGTCAGCTTCCTGTAACTTATTTACACTTATGTAGAGATGACTGATGCTCCACACATAAGACAGGAGGAACACTGCAGCAGGCCTGTTGGCCCATACTAGGCAGGTCCTTCACAATCCATCCCACTAACAAAATATTTGCCCAACCCAGTTTTCAGTGCTACCCAAGCAATAAGCTTTGGTAATTCTATTTACTCATGTGCAAGTCCCACTCAAATCCAACCCCTCTCACTAATGTGTTTATCCAACCTAATATGTGTATCCAACCTAATACGTTTATCAAACCAAGGAAGGAGCATGGCATCTGACCTAGTAGCACAAGTTAGTCAGGTCCAACTCACACCCACTCATATATTTATGTAACCTATTTTTAAAACTACACAATGTCTTAGTTTCTATAACGGTACTCTGAATCTGAATTTTTCCAGCTTAAAGCCATTGCTGCGAGTCCTGGTTAAGCTAGATATTCTTATCATGCTATTTACATCCCCTTTATTAATCCCTGTTTTCCATATATACACCTCCATGAAAAAACTTTGGTTTTTGAAACTTGTCGAATTTCAGAATTTCGGATAAAGGGATGTGGACCTGTAATCCACGTTTTTTTATGCTTGTTTATTAAGTACGACTGCTAAATAAGCCATCATGGGGCCAAAGAAAGTTCCAAGTGCCAACCCTTTGATAAAGAAGACGAGAAACACAATAAAATTCAAGAAAGAACTCATAGCAAAGTACGAAAGTGGCGTACATGTGGTCAATCTCGCCAGGATGTATGGGAAATCCTCATCAACAATCAGTTCCATCCTGGCGAAAAAAAAAGAAATCAAGGAATCTGATGTTGCGAAAGAGGTAAATGTGTTAACGAAACAGAGATCACAAGGAATCGTAGATGTTGAGAAGTTGTTGTTG